TAATGCTGATTTGTAGCTCCACTTCCACAGTTGTTTTGCACGCCCTTTCAGTGAGTGCCCATAAGCCACTTGCGGAGTCGCTCAACAGTTAGCTTACAAATTACAATTTATTTATCGCGATGGTTAGAATGGTAAACAGTTTGTACGTTGTTGCAGGGGGCAGACAAAATATTTTCCGCGAATCCGAATTATTCTTGATTAAATGGCGCATGGTGTATGACAAACCGCCCAATGGTATCTCTGTTAAGCTTCAAGACCCATGAAACTTTTAAGTATGATTAAGCTTCGATGTGAAATAAACCTGTTTTGCATCGTTGTCTCAAATCCAGCAGGCACCCCTCCTCTGGCTAGCGTTTATATTTGCCACCGTTTTGATTCTTGAATATTTCAAAATTTTCGGTATTTCAGAAAATGCAAGGGAAGATACTACTTATTGCTTTCAGCGCAAACATAAACAACACGTATAACTGCAAGAAAGGATTACTGCGTAATTCCTCTAGAAAGTAAGAGTCGACACTTTAGTGAAGGAGGATTCATGAGCATTTGAAGTAGACAAGCTATCATTGGTTTTGCATACAGCTCAGTTCCTGTTACCCGCATGACTATGCCTTTTTGTATGGAAGAACTCAGGAAGCAGCAGCCTGTGAAATTTGTGCGAAGCGGGTTGAGTGATGTACTGTAACGTGCATTCTGCCAAAAAACCGTTTGTGCGACTGTCTTAACTACGAGAGTACATTGAAGTACTTCATATCCGGAGATCACCATAATGCGTTGCAGCAGGAACGAAAAGTTACTTTTCGTCTATGCATTAAAACAGTCTGAAGAGGCGTAGATGATATCTGGCATTATACACAATTTTGTAAACAGTCGAAAGTAACTCTAAGCGTGCATTAACGGCTAAGGCATAAATTTTCTTTTTTCATTTTGTTGATGGCGTAGATCTTGCAGTGTGACCATGGCAAGCTGTCATTAACGATCGCACTGAGATATTTGATTATTTACTTTACTGTTTACTCAGATGACTGGCGTCTTGGCTGAATGAGTTCCGTTTCTAACGATATTCAGCTGGTTCATGCGGCATGAACAAGATTTGTTATTTTCGCCTGTTCAAGGGCATCATAAGATGGTATAAATGTATAATCGTTGTCCTGTTATGAAGTACTGAAAATTCTACTGAAAAACACTAATTCGTTATGCCTGCGCAAAATGAAGATTGTGCCTTGAATTATTGCTGAAGTAGAATTGATAAAGCGAACTACTTGTCAGCGGTAGTTATAGAAGATAATGAATAAACAGAAAATTTGTACACTATTACTAAAGTAATTTAGA